AGCGTTTTTTAAAATTACATTTCTAAAGATTAGTGCAAACAGAGAAAGGTTTGACCATCCCTCTTTGTGCTGTCCATTGTTCGGCGTCCTTTTGCTCTGTAACTCAGATCAGAGGTTGTAATTAAGGTTTTAAGCTGGTAGAGGAGATGTCTGGTTTTGGATGGGGATGCATTTTCCACAACCATGATACTTGAATTTGGGTATATTCTGATACAGATACTATTCAGATACCAGAGCTCTTTTTGTTCTCATGTTATCATCATTACTGTTTTTTTTTTTTTCTGTAATAAACTCCTCTCTACAGGTTAGTAGGTGTCATCTAGGCCTTTTTTCACGTTAGTCTCTGTTTCACTCCAAACTCACCTAGATTTGGTTTTTCCGACAAACTGCCCATTTCTTGTGTCATCTAACCCATGACCATGGTTGCAGTTAAAGTCCAGCCATAACTTACCTTTTTGATGGCTTTACCTCCCCCAATTTTTTTTCCCTTGTATAAATCCCATCCCTGCATCAGTGAGATGTAGTCTGTGTCCATTATGGAGCCTCTGTGTCACCAAGCTGTGTCTTTTTGCTACAGCGAGCGTTTTTATTATTATTAACTGGAGAAATCTAAGCAACCAAGACTGTATTTTTTGTTCAGTAAGAGATTATGGAGATTTTGTTGCTCCACTAAGAATTGATTTGATGGTAAGACCTTTCCTTATTTTTGCTGGGCGTGGCTTTTGGCTGCATTATTCTGTCTTTTTTTGTTGTTTTTTTTATAATGTTTTTAGAGCAGACATTAGTTTGAACCAGGATATCCTGATGTTAAATCATTTTTGGTTAGAGCTTCTATTTAAGGTTAGACTCGCATTGTGGTTTTGTTAATTGTGCCTCAAACAGCTTCTGGCCAAATTATACAGTGTGTCTGCATGCTTTTCTTCTGTCTCACTGCTAACAACAGGTAGTCTGTAAATTCAAACTGGACATCTTTAATTATATACATCCAGCATATACTCCTCTTGCACACGTTGCACTGAAAGTATGCTTACATTCAGGCATTGTTGAGCCTTGGATTGGAACTGTGGCTGAACACGGATGTTCACTCACACAACAGCCAATCAAAGATTTATCATCCATCCGTTCAGCCTTCCACCATCTGGAGATTCATACCATCTTGGTAGTCAGTCCCATAGAGTAGAATCAAAATGTTGTTCTTTCTTTTGTATCCATCTGTATGTGTGTCTCTACACTGACTAACAATATCATTTGGTCTTGCTTTTCTTTTTTTTTTATCATTTAATAAAGTAAATTGAAAAAGACATTGACAGCTAACATTGAAATATATATATATATATATATATATATATATATATATATATATATATATATATATATATATATTAGAGCTAAAACAATTAATCAGATTAATCGATTATTGAAATAATCATCAACTAATTTAGTAATCAATTCATCGTTACATGAGTAAAGAGTCTCTAAGACATGCCTTTAGCTGACAGAGAAACCCACTTAGAGCAGCAATTATATAAAAATTGTAAAATAATATATAAACTTTTTACTTTTAAGATAAAAAAAATGTTTTTGTTTGTCAATAAGCTCTATCCAGAACTCCTCATGCGGAAAAGTTTTTGTTTCACCTAGTTTCATTTAGTAAAAAATCTTCTTTAAGGAACCTTTGGCTATACCATTAATAATCAATTAATAACTTAATGGTTTGATAGGGATTAATAAGACAAGGTGAGAGTCTGTTTTTGTCAAACGAGAACTCTGTTAATATTTCTTATGATAACAAGAGTCAAATGGTCTGGATTTCATCAAATTGTTTAAAGAGCTTTTTAAGGGCCCTGTCACACCTTGCTAATTTAGCCAGCATATGCCTGACGTCCCAGAATCTTCTAAAGCGCTGGCATACGCTGAACTTTCTGTGTTTTTTTTCAAATATGGGTGTCTACATAGCGTATTCATAACAAGTCTAGAACTTATGTCCAAGGACAGCCTAACTTATGCATAGAGCACAGCAGCGATGCACAAGCATCATTTCATGAGAATTACGAAGCATCAGTTAAAGCTGATCCCCTCAGGTGCATCGCTACTCCCCTCAGGAGCATGCACCTGGAGGCACCCGGTCTGCATAAAAAGATGTCTGTGCTCGCGGTAATAACCTGGCTGCTGTTTACCGCCCGCCTAAAAACAAAAAAGGAATAAATACAATGAAAAAAATAAAAAAGAAATAAAAAACGTTTGTAGTCGCAGCAGATTCAGCTTACCTTACCTGTAACTTATGCCCCACGGCATATGTCGAGAAATTTGGGGCAAGTTTAAAACTTCTCAACTTACTCTCCATATGTCAACGTCTGCCATCGTGTTTCAGCTTACTTCAGCATGCTCATAACTTATACAAAACGTACCCATAACCTATCCAACGTATGTCAGGCATACGCTGGTCTAAATCGTCAAGGTGTGACAGGGGCTTAATCTTGAAGAAATTATAATTCTGGAAACTAAATCAGTTTCTTAAGACGGCTTATAGTTTTCAAATCTGATACTGTGTTAAAGCACATTTCAAAAATTTAGAATACATTGAAAATACCCAACATTTTTTCTCTTTTCACGTTTCTCACATTTGAAGCCTGCATTACGGAAAATAAAAATAGGGTGTCTCAGCCCTAAGTTCCACAAAAATCGCCGGGTGCGGACCTGGTGGGCTGTCATGGCTAGGGTTGTCACGATACTAAACTTTTCAACTCGATACCGATACTAAGGGAAATATTCGATACTCGATACCATTTTCGATACCACAAGGATAAAAACAAAGACTCCAAAATTCTACAGAAATATTTTCATTAATAAATAAAATACAATAAAAAAATACAATATATCAAGCAAGCTTGATAAAAAAACTTATAAAATTCAAATTAAGCGTTCCTTCCTTGGCTATGCTTTGCACACATAACAATGACACTAGCCAAACCGGTTAAGAAACAAAAATAATTCTCAGCAGCTGTACCTGTTACAAAAAAAAAGTCTGAAACTGAAAAGTGCGGAGAATTATTCAATCACACAGTGTTCTGAAAGTGCATTTTCCTCTATTCTGCACTTTAGATGAATGACTGTTTAGGTGCCACTGGTAGTAGCACTGTATCGATACTTTTAAAAACGAGTATTGTATTCGGATACAACGTTTCAGTATCGATACTTTTTTGAGTATCGATACTCAAAATCGAGTGATTTTGGGGGGGGGGGGTTGGGGTTGGGTGCAGATGTGAGATAGATGTATAGACAGAAAGGTAACAAAGGAGCCGGCGTTAGAATGTGTGAATAAATATACAGAGCTTTTTAGGGGATGTTTACATGGGGTGGTCTGTCGACTGTCCCACTTTACTCCACATGGCACATTGAGGTCATTGACACTCAGACTGTCAGCTTATCTTATATAAAACCAGAAATGCCCTTTCTTGTCTTCATTTACCTCCTCATTGTTTCATCACTGTCTTGATTTATCTAGTATAGGGAAGGAGATCACATTTATTTTTCTTACACAACGTTGTTCACTATTTGATTATAGTCATATTTTCCAATAAACGGACAATTACAGATTGCATCAGACGTTTTGACTAGTATTATTATGCAGACTGTGCCTTATTGCAGGGGTCTAATGATAGGTAAGGGTAACAAGCCACATTGAGAACCAGGTAGAGCTCAGTCAGGTGGATCAGGTACATATTTTCAGGTAGGACAATAATGCCAACTTCTCTCTTAAACTTAATCTGGCACGTTTTTGCTTCACCATCGCTCTCTGCTCTCCTTCCAGTCCATCGGCTTCATCATATTTCACTCATGGAGACATGTTCTTTTTACTACGCTTTGTATTTCAGTTTCTGCTCTTAATCAATTATTTAGAACTACTATTCTACTATTCAGCTCCATCCACGAATTTCTTTCTTAGATCTCAGTTTGGGTTCAGTGTTTAGCAATGCGCTCAACCCACAGGATGATACTCTATAACGGGTTTATTATATTCAGGGGAACCTAAGAACTATTTTCCACAATCTGTTTCATGCAATCTCTGTTTTAGATTGATAATTTTCCTTATGATAATTATGTCCTTTAAAGGGATAGAAATCTGATTGTGTTCATGATCAACTTTTTATAAACTTTTTTAGAGGATACTGTGACTGGGATGCAGGTATGAGTCCGGGTTGCATCAGGAAGGGCTTCTGGCATGAAAGATTTGCCAAGTTTGTAAGAAACTGACTTCCTTTGGCGACCCCTGAATATGGGAGCAGCAAAAAGGACACAAAAATACTATTACATTAGCTGTTTAAACATATTTTCCATCTTAGGTTCATTATATCACCAATAAACATTTTACATATTTGGAAATAAAAATGAATGCATTTATAAGATGCCTTTTAGCTAGACAGGTGAACTACTAAATGTAACTGTTGTATTAAAGTAACCTATTAAAGTAACCTATCAGTGCTTAAAGACGTTGTGATTAAGAATAAAGTTAACATTCTTCACAATTTATACCTGGACTTTCATTATTTTTTTCTTAAGTTCTGTAGAAAGTCCAATATCCTGCAATACAAAGTATTTAAAATGATGATGTGTTCTTCACTGGTTTAAGGGCTAAGGGTTTTTGGGGGGCTAGACGTAACCTGAATATAAACAGAATAGGGACACCACTTTCTTTTTTTATTCAAACTAAGAGTCTCAAACATACAAACAGGTTTTTAAAGCACTCCTATTGGGATCCAGTAATTATGAAAAGAATATTCAAGTTGACAAGTTCATATGTTACAGTAACCAAAAACATTGTGTTATAGAGTTCACCTAGATGAGAAATATTATTGCTTTTCATTAATGTGAAATCTCATACCATTAGAACTTCCTACACCCATCGTCCTCTTTTTCTTTTGGACACATTCTTTCTGATTCTGGTTTTATTTAGACTGATTTTCAATCACTTTCTAAATGTTTTTCTTCTGGTTCTGCAGCCTGTGCCCATTGATGACTCCTTCTGTGGTCTGGACATCAACCAGCCACTTGGCGGCTCTCAGCTGGTGACCGGCCACACGCTCTACACTGAGACTCGGGACCGCATGACTTCTGTGACTTCCTATGTCTACAACGGCTACTGTGTGGCTTTTGTGGGCACCAGGAGTGGACGTATAAAGAAGGTAATTGATGCTTCCTGTTCTCCTGAAGCAGTTAACACCTCTCTTGTGGGAGATTTCCGCTCTCGTCATTATCGTGATGCACAGAAAGTCAAGCTGTCAAAAGTCCCTGGTGTATAGACATCATGATGTCCTTCTATTTCTGGGGATGTGGATCATAGTCAGAGGCAATATTATCTCCTTAGTATTAAAAGCCTGCTGTCGAACTGTCAGGGAAGGGTGATACCAGTGGGTAACTCAGTGTAATGGTCATTACCAGCTCCTCCAGCACCTTGTTGCGGTGTGGAAAAAACCTGAGCTGAACTAATAGTTTTAATGGGACCCTTTTTGTTTCTGGCCAAGTGATGGCAGTAAAGAGAGACCTGGCCCGTACATTAAACCTTTAAGTTCTGGTTTTGAGAGAAAACTGAAGCCACAGAGGGTAAAGGGGGGTAGGACGGTCTACAGTGATAGCATTTTAGACTGGAGCTGCTGGAATGAAATGACTGGATGAGCTTTGACAGAATTTGACAGCGAAGGAGCTTAACCCTGTATTCTAAAACCAGAGATTAATAATATGTACATTGGTCAGAATGGCCTGTGATTTGTTGGCCTTCTGCACTCTATATAGTCCAACGTTGAACAATGCATTTAACATCGTTATGCCCTTAGAATTTGTCAATATATTAATGCTTTCTTACATTAAAACTGTTGGGTCACCAGGATTTGTTTTAATTCAATGAACACACCTTACTTTAGTGCTACCAGGTTCTGGGGAAATTTTTTTGTGGGTAAGTCGATAAAATACTGAGTAAAGATCACTGGAAGATGGCAATTATGTGCACAGTTCAGCTAAACGGATAAATCAAAGATCAGGGGAAACAGAGTTGTATAAAGTTATTCAATAGGAGACTATCTATTCAGGCTGCAGGACATAGTTAGTCTTTTCGTAGATAGCAGGGATGTTAAATGAAGACCTCTGTGATAGGAAAACACTAGCAGACTTTGGTAATCACACAGTTAATGTGAAGCTCTACATTTTCTGAGAAACAGACACACAGATTACTGTTAACAGTGAGGCGGTTTGCGCTAAGTAGACAGATTTCTATGATAATGACTCAAAGGAAGCTTGAACACCTATTGTTGTCTTATGTATACAGCCAAGATAGCATGTGCATTCCCCCAATGCCAGTTATCACACATTCATTGTGGGACTAGGAACCTTTGGTTAGCTCTTTCTCTGTTACAACTGGTCAGTAATAGTCTTGTTATCATTGACTGTTATAAATCTCACTCATTTGTATTATGCCACGATTGCCAAGAAAACCTGTATTATGATGACTTGTGTCTCAAATTTAGTCTAGCATTACATTTACCCCTAATATAAAAATTCTTAAACACCAGTCTATCCTGGGAGGTGAGATGTTTTTTTTATGCTTTTTAATAGCTTTAGCTGTTAAAGGGAAATTGGAAATTAATTAAAGTCAGTATCTGCAAAATGAAACCAGGGACAAATACCGTCAATGTGTCTATTGAACCCGCTTTTTAAAGATGAACATTTTATGCTACTTTATGCACATCAAAAAATCTTGCTACATTTTGCAAATCGTTGGGTTAGTCAAGCCTGGCATTTTAGCACAAACAGTGGCAATCTGTGTTGGCCTAAGCTATGTTGTCTCTAGTTCAAATCTGTTAACAGATCATTCTGTGGGGGTTGGAGTAGAAAAAAAAAATTATGCAATTCATCATTTGTACCGTAAAGATCTATTGCCTCTTGTTTTATTTAGTTAAATTTCAAAAGGCAAAAAAGATTGTTCTGATACTGTTTTATCTTCGCGCCTCTCCCCGTTAGCTTCCTCACTTTTCTTGCCTCTATCATCCACCCTGATCTCAAAGTATCATTGCTGAAAAAGCCAAGCGCGCTGCTGCTGCTGCTGCTATGTGCATACTCAAATTGCTTCTCACAGAGCCGTGACTGTAGCCACAGTAACAGCAAACTGAAGAAGGAATTAACCAGGATATGAGACGAACATCTAGACAAAAAAAGCAGCACAGTTCAGTGCTCAGAGCACCCTAATCCTACTAAGGCACATACAGAGACTCACTAGATGAGAAAATGAGAAAAGTTTAGACTACGATCAACCTAATTTTATCCAAACAAAAACCTAATTACAGCAGTTGTAATACAAATAATATAGATATAAATTTAAATTTGGCTAAGAATAAGTAAATTGATCTGTGCTATGATTGTTTAAACTGGGCCTAAAAAGCTTGTGTCAGTGGAACCATTGCCTTGCTAGATTTTATTTAAATCTTTCTTGTTTTAGAGGATTTGACTAGAAAAGCAACTGCGTCTCCCCAATTTCCATACAGGTATGATCTTGGTCAAGGTGAAGCCTTGATTTGCATGAATGCTCATGCTTCGGCCAGCTCTGACTGTTCATCTAATGTGCATGAAAGAGAGTTTGACCACAACCACCCAGAGATTTAGTGTTTCCCTGTCACAGGCTTTTTAAAACAGATGCATATTTCTGATTTGTTTTTTATATAAAATATGCTACTTATTTCAAATTTTTTTCTTTAATTTTAGACACTGTAACACAAACAACGTAAAAGATGCTGTCAGCTCTTTCAAAGGATGTATTTGTTATTCTAAATAACAGGAAATAAAGGAAAGTATGTGTCAAAAATATGTGACTGAGCTTAATCAGTTCTTTTTATCAAGCTCAAAATGTCCATCAAAGTACTTGCTGTTGGTTGATGCATTCAGTAAGAAAAGCTTTTTCAGGTTTCGATCTGCACATCCCTTCACGGCAATGAACTGATGTTGATGTGTGGTCAGCTGATCATCCCTGAAGTGTGGAATAATGATCAACGTTGCATGACTGCACAGTTTGCCTTTCTTATTCTGAAGTGTTTGTTGTTGTTTTTGCCTTGAGGATGATCCATTCACTCCCTTTGTCTCCAGAGGCAGGGCTAATATATGTGATGATCTTTAGCTGCAGCCTTTTTGCAGAAGGGTTGTGCAGAGCATTGTGAGAGACATGGATGAAGTCGGATGCTTCAGGCTTCCTGCTGATCTGAGCATGACACAGCCTAGGTGGCAAGCTTTGATGCTAGGCTAGTGACACAATCCTGCACATGCCTTCATGCAACCAAAAAAGTCAAGCAGCTGAGGAAAAGAATGAGTGTGACAGCAGTGTGATCCATAAAAGAAAATATACTAAATAAATGTTTCTTTTTACATATATGTCAATATAAAGATTTCCATATATATGTAGATATATGTATATAGAGAGAGACAAGTTACAGAAAGAGGCAGAGATGGAGAAAGGAAGAAGGCACTGGGGGGAGTGAAGGCAAAGAAGTGCACTGAAATGTGAATTTAGTGCCGCCAGAGAAACTAGGATTGCACCGCTTCTTGTAATTGGATTGGCTCCAATCCCAAAGTTGCCCTCTCCCCATCTTTCCATTTATTGCCTCCCCATTCAGTTCCACTCCTCCTTCCCTTCCTCCTCACTCTCCCTGCCGGCTGGCTCTCATGTGTTCTGCTGTTTTTAGGGGCTTTGCTGGAGAATAGTGAAGTATGAGGGATGGTGTTGGCGGAAAACGCTGCCTATAACCAGCCTTGTTTGTGTGTGTCATGGCGGTGGGATCAGTGTGTCTACTGAGGATGAAGGGTTAACAGGATGGGAATTCATTGTGAATTTTACCTTCACCCCTTTGAAATAAACCCTAGTTTAGAGAGCCTAAATGAGGAGGCAGTCCGATAATGTAATGTCAGTGCCATATATATTTTGTTGGCAAACATGAGCTTTTTAGGGTTAGCTCTCATGTTTAATGGGAGCTCAGGCTGCCGTAAAGCAGCGTTCTGGGTCACATGACTTATTGGTGAAGGATCTGACAAGGGATCCCCTTCAGAGGGATCTGAAGGCGATCCAACAAGTTGCAATCAATACTCAACAAGTGCTGTAAATGTTTGGGTCAACACTTCTACTGTGTTGCTTTAGACAATAAAACAAAAAGTGTCTGGATGTTTTTTTACATGGATTTCAGGCCCATGAAGTGTTGAGAACGCACCACTGTTCAAGTTGTTGAGGTCACATGTGTTCCCCCCCCCCTCCACACACACACTTATCACTCCTTCATGTTGTTTTGGTTCTTATCATGCCTGAGTTGTTTCTCATCCCAACCAGCATGGGGGATGTTGTGGTCCAGTGTTTCAAAGTGTGAAAGTTGTGAAGTCGCCTGGGAGAGAGCGTCAAGGCCATCTTGTACAGTAGGTGTTGCATTCCTGTTACCAGAGGCCAGAGGAGTTTAACAAGGATGACTTCCTATACTATTTACTAAAGCTATCTTTTTAGATTGATATGGCTAAACCTTTCTGTACTCTGTACTGAGATACTACCACCATATTAAAAGATCTTTTAAAAATGCAACATATATTATATTAACATTCAGCAGCACAGTGGAAGTGCATTAAAAAAATTCTTTTGGGTGTATAAATAAATTTTTGGGAAATGACATCAGAATCTATTCAGATTACCGTACATTTTTTATAGCCCTAATTGTGACAGAATAACAAAGTCTCCAAATTTGCTGTGATCCTGCAACTTTTAAGCATCCATGAGTTTCAGGAAAACATAGAGTGCTTTTTCATCTACCTCTTAGGTGGCCTAAGCAGGAACGTTTTCCACATAGCAATCTCTCGTCTCACTTATTCATTAGAGCTTCAGAACTACTGATGTCTCCTAAATGATTCTAATACAAAATCCAAGAAATTTGAAGGATTGCTAACACAATATTGTATTGACTTTAATCGTAGGCAGACCTGGTCACTTTTGTGTCTGGTATGTTTTGATTTGTGTTTGCTGTAATCTATGGGCGAATAAAATGTACATCCCTGATATGAGGCGCTTTTCTTTTCATCATGCACTGATAAATAATCGGGAAGTGGCTCAGATGATTTGCTTTGCAGCTAAAGGGGACAACTTGAAAGGGTGGTTCAGGTGTTTAGCTGGACA